CATGACTACGAGATATGGCAAATGGATGTTAAAAATGTGTTCCTTAACAGAACTCTAAACAAGGACGTATATATGGTACAACCAGAAAGTTTTAAGCATCTAAAGTACCCTGAAAATGTATGCAAATTGCAGAGGTCCATTTATGGACTAAAGCAAGCATCTCGTAGTTGGAATCTTCGTTTTGACGAGAAAATCAAGGAATTTGATTTTGTAAAAAACGAAAATGAACCTTGTGTATACAAGAAGGTCAGTGGGAGCATAATAGTATTCTTGATCCTATATGTTGATGACATATTGATTATTGGAAACGACATCCCTACGCTTGAAGGAGTAAAAGTATGGCTAGGGAAGTGTTTCGCGATGAAGGATCTAGGAGAGGCGACATACATCCTTGGAATAAAGATCTATCGAGATAGATCTAACCGCTTAACTGGATTAAGCTAGAGTACATACATTGACAAGATCTTGAAACGCTTCAAAATAGAGGGTTCCAAGAGAGGAAACTTGCCAATGGTCCATGGCATACAACTGAGCAAAACTTGGTGTCCTAGCACTAAAGAGGACATGAACCGTATGAAGAATGTTCCTTATGCTTCGGCCATTGGTTCAATCATGTATGTCATGTTATATACTAGACCAGACATCCCATATGCCCTAAGCATGACGAGCAGATATCAGTCAAACCCAAGTGATGTTTACTAGATAGCAGTAAAAAATATCCTAAAGTATCTGAGAACAACTAAGGATATGTTCTTACTATACGGTGATCAAGAAAGAGATATGTGTATCCAAGGGTATATAGATGCTAGTTTCCAAACTGACCGTGATGACTTTAAATCACAGTCAGGATATGTGTTTGTATTAAACAGAGGCGTTGTGAGCTGGAAAGCTATAAGCAAAGTATAATAGCAGACTCAACTACATAATCGAAGTATTTTTCAGCGTCGGACGCTATGAAGGAAGTTGTTTGGATGAAGAAATTCATCTCAGACCTAGGAGTGGTTCCTAGCATATGTGACCTTGTCAAGATATATTGCAACAATGATGGTGCTATAGCTCATGCGAAAGAACCAAGGTCACATCAGTACTCTAAGCATATTCTAAGACGATACCACCTACTTCGAGAGATCATTGATTGAGGTGAAGTGAAAATATGTAGAGTTCGATCAGAAGATAATCCATCAGACCCTCTAACCAAGCCTGTGAGTCAAAGCAAGCATGATGCTCATACCAATTCAATAGGCTTGAGGTTTTGTAAAACACTAGTCTGATTTGTAATTTTAGTAAAACTTTAAATTATTTGAACATAAAACAGTTATGTTTTTATATGTTTTAGCATATTGGATATGAGTATTTACATTAGACATTTATGTGTTCATTATTAGCATGTTTAAGTATCCTTAAATAAAATGATGATCATATTGTTTAAAACTGTCCTTGATCCATTATTACCAGGGGACTGGTAATAAATAAAGATCATTGTGAAGTCTGGTCATAATCCAAGTAGTAAATGCACTAGGTGCAACCAGAGTCACATACACTTGTTTAGGGGTAGGTGTTGGACAAGACCCACAGTCAGGATCACCTCATAGATCGATGTCATAAGATGAGTCCTGAAATGATGGACACTCCTATCCTCATACTTGAGATGTGCATTGGTAAATACTGCCGAAGGAGTGTTATACTTTGATGTAGTCTAACGTTATCCTTAATCGGGTACTCATAAGGGATATGTTGGTTATGACACGAATTGTGTATAAGTCATGTAAATGCAATACGGGATTTGCTCCTCCCAAGTTGAGAGAGATATTTTTGGGCCCCTCGATAACATAGTCTAATCCATATGGCCATAGACAAGTCGATTAGTTAAACTAATAGCAAATGTTTGAATCAAATATGTTGGAATCGAGAAACATAATCTTTGAACTCTAAAGGATGAGATAGATTTATGTCTTATGTTCAAAACAAAATATCGTGAAGCAAAAGGATAGAGGAATGATATTACCATATGATTGATTGAATCAATCAGGATTGCTCAAAAGGAAAGCACATTTACATAGCCTTGTGGGTGGTGACGTGTTGCTAGACGCTTACCATCGTTTGTGTTACTATGTGTCATGTGCAAGTGGGAGAATGTAAGTTATTATATGCCCACGACACGTATCGCACAACGATACTGCTAAGGATTATGTAAACCTACAGAGTCGCACACAAAAAAATATGTTTGCTTACATTTGAAAGTAACCCAAAATTCATGATTGACAGTTAAATAATTATTCTTGAAGAATAAGTATAGGATATGTCTTACAACGTAATTATGATAACTACAAGGTATTATCTGTAAATAAGCATAATTATTTAAGCTTTAGATAACTATACAATTATTTACAGATAAACATCAAACCTTATTTAAAGTTGTGGTTTGAGTATGATATCGGTTCATATAAATAGGGAGTTAGGCCAATTCAGTTTAGTGAATTCAATTCTCTGAATTTAGTTATCCGTTTACATACACATATTTAGACTTAGGGTTCTTTTGGGCTAGCACCTAGTGGAGGATCTACGCGTGTTCGTGTGTGGATCAATTGTAAAGGAAACCGTGTTTGGTTTCTAAGTGTCGCATCAGACTTTTCACTAGATCATAAAAGGTACATTCCTAAACATCTTATGGTATGTTATAATTTAATTAAATGTCTCATTGGATTCAGCTTTGAGTTTTAGATTTTTTTTTCTTAAATTATTGTACCAAAAATTTTATTTTCCACTGCATTTAAGGTTTCAAGTTCAATTAAAACCCAACTCCTCTTTAGTTAACGAACTTTTCTAACGGAAGTTAGTTAGAGGGACATGAAGTGTTGAAAGTAACAACCACGGTGATCAAAAGTGTAATTATTATTTAATAACGACAAGATTTGATAGTGGATGATAATAATTTGGACTAAAAGTATAATTTACTTTAGTTTATATTCATTGATGAATATATAATACCATATGAAATTTTGATTAATTATGTAGAATATTCATCATTGAATATACAATATACAAATTGCTTGATTGATGAATATAGTGTATATTTATCATTCTCATGTGACCAGCAAAGTTGACGGAATAAATATAACAATGTTGGGGTCAAGGATGAAATTTATAATGAAATGAAAACTAGAGAGTTACAAGTGTAATTTTGAAACTTTAGGGACAAAACCAGTTTTTCTGATATATTCTTAACAGTATAACATAAAGTTGAGATATATAAAAAATTAAATGATTTAAAAATACATGAGATTCAAGAAAAAAGTTGATTGGTTATGTTCAGTTTGGTACATGGGCCATACATGAATGGAACTTCAATCTAATTGTCTATCAGATGGAGATCTAGAATTTTTTTTTTCGACTGATAGCACCAGTTATAACTATAAGAAAATAATGGGTTGTTCGGTTTGTTTTTATTAAGTTTTGTATGGATAAAGTTGTCTATAATGATAAATGTGTTTGTATATTATTTGATAAATTGTTGTTCAGTTGTTATGCTGAATGAACAGTTGAATAGTGAAAATTATTATTTTACCCTTTGCTTTACATTGAAGGAAAAACGATCACCTATGATTAACACAGCAACATGTTAACATTAAAGGAAAAACCAAAGAACTATTCATCACCACATGAGAGGAGGAGCGATAGATCAAAATTAAACTCAAAATCAACAACTTAGTAAAAGTTCATCCCATAAAGTTTATGGTACAAACCTTAATCAGAAACTCATATCAAACCCACAATCACGAGCAAAAAAAACAATGAAGACTAAAGATGAAGAACCCTAAATCAAAAACATTGGTATGATTGCCATTGTAATCAAGCAAGAAAGATGAAAAACAAATGAGGGAGGGGTCACGATTACAGGGAAAAAACTAGCAAAATATCGAGGGGTAGATTTGAGGAACAAAAAACTCAGTTAAGAAAGGGAAAACGAGAGATGGAGAGAGTGAAGAGAAGATGAAAGTATTCAGGGAGGAACGCACTTCAAAAACGTCTTTCATCGGAGAAGATGAAACGGTAGTCCGCTAGATAAAGACGCACTGGTTGTTTGTCGGAGAAATTCAACAAATCATGGAGGGAGCAACAAGAGAGAAGATCGAGTTTGGAGGAAGTGTCTTTCATGTTTCAGGGGTAGGAGATGACTTCCTTCTATGGGCTGAGCGAGTAAGCCCTTTTCTGACCCATCAAACCACTTACCGAACATGTCATACAGCCCATGAAACCGTTACTGAATAGCCTCTAAACTTATAAAGTTTTCACTAAATCATTACAAACCTGTTGGTCTTGTGTCCTACCCTTGTCATTGCCTTTTAATCCAAATTTTTTAAATTTAAAGTTGAAAAAAATAAAGAAATTAGTCAAACCCGCATCTTTACACAAACCATGCCACCAAAAACTCGTGTATTTAGTTTACTTTCACCAAACATAATGACACGTTAGAAATAAAACGAGTAAAAAAATTTAGACTGTGCTAGCATGTGCACTCTCGCCCCTCCTTTACGGCCCATATTGTTTGAGTCATATTTGGTAAGAATTAAACTTGTTTGAGAAACATTTACCACGTATCAATACTTTTATATCTTATTCCACAATACAAAAAAAACGTACAAGTTTAGGGTAAAATAATCTAATTTGAATTCATTTTTGTGCCATGTCTTTCCGTAGCCAAAAGAAATGGCCATGGATCAAAATTACTTTTATATTGAAGAAAAATAACAATACAAATATAACAACTAATTTATCAACTTCAATTGAAAGCATTGATGATGGATGAAAGAGACACAATTGTAACGGGAAACTTGGTGGTTACTCCCACTCTCGATGGAATCTTCTTCTTCCTCCATTAGGATATTCTCTTTCATTCCCTGCTTCCATTACTTAAATCTGTACCAATTAACAAGAGGAGGAGGATCTGATCCATTCAGCCTTCCCACCAGTAGCTTAATAGCTGTACATCAAAAGTATTAATGGCTTCCAAGGGCGGTCTTCTTCCCATAACCAGAGCTTTTCTTTCTTCTTACTATGATAAACACCCATTTCCCACCATTTCCGATCATGTGCCTCGCCTTTCTCACCACCTTTACAACTTGTCCAACCATCTGTGCACCACTACTACTTCTCTTCCTCAAGGTCCATCATTTCATTTCTTTCTTAATTTTACTCACTTATTATATGTGATTTTACTGATCCCTCCCTTTAGGAACTATATATATTTGGTATAACGGATTGTATGTATATATATATATATATATATATAGGGGCCTAATCAAATGAGAACTAATTAGTTTATGGTAACTGTGAGAACCAATATTAACCACAAATCAATAGATAAATTAGGAAATTTATAATTTTGGCAATTTTGAATTAAAATATTAATGCAAAGATATTTTTGGTATTTTAAAACTTTCTTCCCTCCTCTCTTCTCTCTCCGGCCACCGTCCGCCGGCTACCGTCCTCCGGTGATACTACAATGGTATCACAATGCATCATATATGTGCTTGGGTATCACATTGATGTCGTTTGTGTGGTCGATCGAAGATGTAACACAGTGGTATCACTATGCATCTTATATATGATTAGGTATCACAATGTATCTTTTGTTTAACAGAGTCAATATTTTTAGGTATCACAGTGGTATCATAGTGGTATCACCGGAGGACGGTGGCCGGAGGCCGGAGAACGGTGGCCGGAGAGAGAAGAAAGGAGAGAGGAGAGTTTAAAATACCAAAAGTATCATTGCATTAAGATTTTAATTTAAAATTACCAAATTTATAAATTTCCTAATTTATCTATTGATTTGTGGTTAATATTGGTTCTCACAGTTACCACAAACAACTCAGTTCTCCCTTGAATAGGCCCCTATATATATATATATATATATATATATATATATATATATATATAGTTAAAACAAATGCATTAATTCCTGGAGTGGAAAAACTTATATATACATGACATGTTTCATGTTTCAGGAGAAAGATTGTTGCTAAAAGAAGTGGAGATGCTCCCACCACATAAAATTGATGAGAATATGTGGAAAAACCGTGAGCATATTGAAGAAATCATTTTCTTGCTGGAAAGCTCTCATTGGCCAAAACCGGTGAGATGCAAAAGTTTTTTAATTCAGTTCAGCCATTAAACTTAGGCAGAAAATCTTGCATTTTCGCTACCTAGACTAGAGTGCATTGCAAATTTAGGCTGGGTCATGTTACATTAGGCTTTCAAGATGTTCTCAAAGGTCTCATCTTTTCCTATATGTTCTGTTAGGTGCAGTATTCATGTTTCTTTGGTTATTCATATCTCATCTTGTCATCCATCTCAAGTTCCATTTGCTTGTTATTCTGTGAGCAGCTTCAACAACAGTCCACACCTGAAGATGTTGAACTTGCGCACCTTCTTACACGCCTAACAGAAAAATGTCAAGGCACATTGAAGCTTTTGGAATCCATCCAATCCAAGAGTGCTGAAAATGTGTTCAACACAGGTTAGTCTCAGAGTCTTTTGTTTTCATATTTTTGGGGCTGTGATATTCAAATGGTTTGGGTCTTAGCCTTGCGACCATGAAGCACGAACAACAATATCATACACACTCTCTTAACATTTGATTTCGCTTTTAAGTGTGTTAGTGATTGAAACTCTTTAGACAGAGATAATTGTCGAGAATCCATTTTAGCAAAATCGAAGACACCATTTTCTGATATACCTTACTATGAGTGTTCTAATGTCTTCATCAAATATATACATGACTGATCTGTCATGACCATTGACTTGGTACCCAGATTTTTCAAAATGTCAGAAATTCTGAATCTAAGGTTCAATCTTTTCCCCCATTGATGCAATGAAAAATATGCATGAAATTGGAGCATACTTTGGCCTGGTTGCTTCAAGTGGAAAGCTGTAATCAGTTTTGAACTTCCCAAAAACAGGAGTGAAGACATTTATTTATACTGAACTTTGACAACCAGAGCCTGATTATGCTAATTAGACAAACAACTTGAAACTATTTGTCCACTATTTATACTAGTCAGAAATGGTTAACTTGGATTAATTATTCATGATCAATGATTTTGGTCATCCTGCCTATGAGATGAGTCAATCAGGGTGATTCTTGTTTGGTTTTTTTATTTTTTTTATTTTAATGATAATAGTTGTGATTACATGGGCAGTTATGACCTATATGCCCCAAGACTTTCGAGGTGCACTGATTAGAAAACAGAGAGAGCGCTCCGAGAGGAATAAGAAAGCTGAAGTGGATGCTATAGTAAATTCTGGTGGAAGCATACGTGATCGATATGCTCTGCTATGGAAACAGCAAATGGAACGGTAAGAGACCTGGTTCCCAGTTCTGAGGCAGCATATGAAAAATCTTAATATGTTGCTGAAGTCAACTCAGCTGATACGTATTCTAGGCCATTGGTAGGCTTAACAGTTTTCTTTTGTCATGTTTTTGCTGATTAAATATTTGTGTCCAGGAGAAGACAGTTGGCTCAGCTTGGTTCTGCTGGAGGTGTCTACAAAACAGTTGTGAAATACTTAGTAGGCGTACCACAGGTATGTTATTGGGTTTCTAGTTTGCTTGTTACCATTTTGCTGTTAATTCCCCCATTCCCTAATATGTTTGAAATTATGTCTTTGTAATCCTACGGTTTCTGGGGCTCCCTAAGGTTGTTTGTCGTAGTAGATACAGCCATATGCATCATATATGACCTACGTTCATACTTGCTACAGGTTCTATTGGATTTTGTTCGGCAGATCAATGATGATCAAGGGTATTTTCTTTCAATAAAAGTATTAACAACACAAATTTGGCTGAATATATTTTCTTATTTGGCCTAGCACAAAGGATAAGAAGCGTTCTAAATTCTAACTAGGCTAAGCTGAATTTCTTTACATATTTAGGCCGATGGAGGAACAACGACATCGCTATGGACCACCTGTGTATGCCCTTGCAAAATTAGTGCTCAATATTCACCTTTTTCTTTCTTTGTCATGGTGGCGCTTCGAAGATATTAAATGGTGAGCATGACGTCTCTTTTCTTGTTTGCATTCTTATTGTTTGTTTCTGATGCAAGCAACGCTGTTGGTTTTGAAGTCAATAGATTTTCCTTTTTTTGGTTGGTTCTCATGATATCTACTAAGCAGGCAGAAACATCAAATATCTATCTTAGAAGAAGCGGTTGATGTCTATACGTCCGAGATGGAAAGATTCCTCAAATTCATTGGGTACTGATTCTGCTTCCCGTAACTAATGGTTATATAGTTAGCACCAGTACTTTATATCTATAATCCCATCCTCTCAGTTCACAGTTTCGGTGGTAACAAATCTTTAGTTCGTTAATCCTTCTAAATTGTAGATATTGGTCTTGATTGAATGAGAACGATTAGCGTCTTATTACTGCAAGAGGTTTCACCTTTTTGCTATAGATTACATCCCACAGTGTTTGAACTGAAGAAGAAAGTGTGGTTGTCCAAGCAAGAGCTCTACCTCTTATTACAATGAGATGTTAAAACTTGATGGCAAGAGTTGGATTTGTGTTTCAGCGATGAACGGTAGAATCGTAGAGATATGCCACAATATTGGAGGAAATGAAGGCCTTGTAGAAGATGAAGAACACATGCATGGTAGATGGTAAACTTAGCTAAGAGCAAGAAAACATTAGGTTGAAGATGGGTGTTTGCACTGGCTCTAATGCTTCTTATAAGTATAATTAATTAGTGCTACCACCATGCATATGTTCATTGTGAATATGAAATTTGTCTTCATTGAATGACATATGGCATAATGATACTTGATGACACTAATACATTGTATATGTTTTTGATAGGGAAGTGTTTGCAAATTCTCCTTTCTTCGTTACAGCCGAGGAAGCCGGTGCAAGGTATGTGTAGAATTGTTCATTTACGATGTGTTGGAACAATGCACTGATTATGTTTTATTGCGTTTTCTGCAGTAAAAATGATGAGTATAGAGAATCAAGTGTTCCTGCTGGGAAAAGTTATGAGGTATTTGTTTTGCCAATTTTACAAGGAAACGTAGCTACACAACCCCAATCTATCTTAGGACTCCGATAACGTTATCTACTCTCTTTCAATCGTCTAGGCTAGCTACATGTCCCCACCCCCAACTAACGTTCCAAGCACTCATACCAGAGGTCATGTCCTCTGAAATTTCTGAGGCTTCAAGATCAATGCTCAATTGCTCAACCCACGTCCTCCTCGTGCTCCTCCCCCCCCCCCCCCCCCCCCTCTCTCCTTGACCATCACTTTCCATCCTTCTCGTCGGAGCTGCCATCTGTCTCCTACAAACATGTTCAAACCACAACAGTCTTCCCTCCCTCAACTTATCCATGATAGGTGCAACTCCCAACTCCGCCTGAAAGACCTTGCTCGTATCTAAGCATTCTCTTTCTTGCAAATTTTCTCTCATGAGCCTTCCTTGTTGCCCAACACTCGTGTTGACCCATACAACATCGTTGGTTCGATGGCTACATTGTAGAATTTTGTCCTTCATTTTAGCGGAACTCTCTTGTCACGCAGCACCCTCGTGGCATATAGACCTAGAGCGAGCCTAGATGTGCTAGGGGTGAGACAAAATGCCAGCAGGGGGTAGCTCGCCAGAAGATTCAATGCAGATCGAGTGCGCGCTTGATGAACTCGCGTTCATGAACAAGGCTAGACAGAGCTTGCTTCCAGAAGCGTGTGCAATGTTGGAAGGCTGCACAAGAGGAAGAGAGCACCACGAAGATCGCATTAAGGCCGAAAGCGAGTTTGAAGACCTTGCTTTCAAGGCTGAGTTCGGTGAAGCCGGGAGCGACTGATTTAGGGGTTTATACAGAGAATCTTTATTCCACAATACTGATCACTAAACTTTGCTATCTGAATGTTATTGTTGGATCTTGTTTTAATAAGATTATCATCAAGTTTTATATGAAATAACACATTCTATTTTGTCCTTTCCCTTTAGGTTTCACTAGAGGTGGAATCAGTAAATTCATACATTGCTTGGGATTTCTCCGTAGCACAAGGGAAAATTAGCATGGTAATTAATATCCACTACATTATTCTTGTAACTTATAGCAAAGTAAGTCGGACTTAGAAAGCTTACAAAATCTGTGGTCTTAATGTATGGATCTGACAATGTTTTCACAGGACATTGGATTCAGCATAGAGTACACAAATTCTTTGGGACAGAAAACAGTAAGTTGAAGTATTGGACTTGTATATTTTGGTGCTTCTGTTTCCTGTTTGATGTTCTGTGAACTGCTTTTCTGTTTTTGATTTGGTTTTCTGATGTGTATAGCTGATGTTGCCTTACCGGCGGTACGAGTATGACCAAGTAAGTGGTTTTAATTGTTGATGATTTTAGAGCACAGAAGGTAGGATTTGATGAATTGTTTGATTTGGTTGCAGGGTAACCTGTGCACACTCATGGCTGGCAAGTACAAGCTCATTTGGGATAATTCATTTTCAACATTCTTCAGAAAGGTTGGCACTCGTTCTCTATCTCTACTAATTTGATTAATCAAAGATGGTTCTTGTGGAAATTATTATAACAAATAAGATTATTAAGTAGTGATGATTGTAACATGCAGGCCCTTCGATACAAGGTGGACTGTATACCACCGGTTGTCGAAGCAGCTGCAAGTGATCAAGGGTAAAGTTGATATATGTATGTATGTATGTATGTATGTATGTATGTATGTATGTATGTATGTATGTATGTATGTATGTATGTATGTATGTAT